CAGCTTTAAAAGATACGAGCATAATCCTCTTCAAATAATTCCGAATGAAATAATTCTGAAAAATGCATAAAAAAGTAAAAAAATAAATAAATAAATAAATAAAAGCTTACCCTGAATAAAATTATCTGCAAAATATTTACTAGGATAAAATGTAAGATCCTCTGACCTCCATTCTTTAGGGCTAAAATAGGGTAACCATGTAGAATCGGCCAATAAGCTGCTATAGATTAAGATGACGTCATATTCCGTTATTGATTCCCATTTTTTTTCGCTCTTTGTGTATGCTCATCTTCCTCTTTTATGGAATTTTTTTTTTCTTTCGATTCCCTCTTCCTCCTCTTCATTTCCTTCCACTTGTGGTTTTCGGGCTATTCATTTTATTTTCTTTATTTTCTGTTTCTTAATAGAAACAGTCACTCTTAATCGAAGTCTTTAATTTCACATGCGAGCTCAAAGGAATATGAACTTTCATTGATTTGGAGATTTCTGAAGCGTCAAAATGTATTTATCGTAAGACATACTTTTAACGAAATGTAATAAAAATTGCAGAAAGTAAAAGAGAATCCAATTTTGAAACTAACATTTCTTTTTTAGCGTCACTTGAATGTGTGTTTTAGGGGATATTATTAAAAGTAATTTTTGTAAGGATATAACAGCGTTATGTTTTGATTTATTTTCGTATTTTTCTCTCTGCTTGACATTCCACAAATTGATTTCAAAGTAAAACATTTTCACTTAGTAATAACTATTTTAGTAGCCTATTTTTCAAGAAAAATAAGTTTTTTTTTTTTCATCTGATATGATTCCGGATTATTTTTATATAATGTCAATTAACGTTTTTAAAGGGAAAATTATCAATTTTTGGAGTATGTCAAGCACTGCAGAAAGATGCTTAACGATACGTAGAACTGACAGGAAAACACTTGCATTTATCATTTATTTAATTTTAAAACATTCTTATATTTGTAAAAGATTTAAGATCCGAGAAATTATTTAAAATAAATTAAATATTTAATTTAGATTTGGTATCATTTAAGTCAGTAAAATGAAAGAAATTAATAAATTAACATAATTACAATTGTTACGCTGAAATACGAAGTGTGTAAATTTTGCAGTTTAGTGAAATTATATTTGAAGTTACACACTGAAAATGGTGCTTGCAAAACTGTAACTGTTGTCTGAAACCCAAGAATATTTGATAAATCTGTGATGTCCTCCGTATAATTTTTCAATCAATATTTTTATTTTGCTTCCATTTCAAAGGTAGAGTGTTCCTAAATATCACTCTATGTTCCCTATGCAATCAGATTTCCTGAATATTTCGTTATTCTTATAACTCAGGTTTACGCAATACGAAGAGTCATTTAACACTGAAGTAAATGTTATTCTGTGACAACCAGAACATTTAAACATCAGCTTTGAGACAATTTCTTACTTTTTTATGATTATACATATTATTTCACTTTTGCATTTCATAAAAATCCTGCCATTAAATTTATTCTGCTTTCCCTCTACAAAATAGAAGAACAGAACTATTATTTTTAAATGAAAGACAGATTTCAGTAAATGGGGGAAAAATAAATAATACCCGAATGTCAAGAAGATGTTTCCATTGATTTTGGAAACAAATATATAATTTTTTCTATTAATATATTAAGCATAAGTCAAATCAGAGTAAAATTAATGTAATAATATTTCTGATGATAATTATTGGTTACAAAATGTAGATGAGTATTGTTTGGAAATTTGGACACGTAGTGTCTTATTGAACCTATACTTTGCTTAGGTCTATTAAATAAGTTTCAATATTTTTTTAAATGATATTAAAAATTATAACAGAATCTGAGGCCTCAGATGGGATTAGTGTCTTCTGTCATAACGAAGAGTATAGCCATTTCGGTTTTCTCTTTACAGCAGAAAACTAGATATAGTTTTATTTTTTGATAATAGCTTGTCTATAACTGGAATAAAGAGACGTATAATTTGATATATTTGTAAGGCATTATGAAGGAAAAAATATTCTAAATTGACTTTATTGCTGATTTCTTATTTTTCAGCTTTAACACATATCCCTAAAATTCCTTCAACGCAACACCTGTTTTAGGAAGGCCACAATCAGTCATTTTTTAAGTTTATGAAATGCAAAAATCAAAGCATCGTTCAGGTTTTCCTGTTTTATACAATAACTGAAGACATGTAGAACTCAAATCAGAAAGACCTTGCAGTTTAGAGAAATTTTGTGAAAGATTTTCGCTGACTCAGAAGAACTGGAGAATGAACGTTATGCACCATTTTAAGCAATCACGCATAATTTTCGTTTCCTTTACTTTTGTACCGATAATGATAATAACGCACCAGCGGCTGTACGCTAAAGTAAATCGTAAGTGCGCAACAAAATATTTGTAACACAGAAAATGCTAATTTAGGCATTATATTAAATCCTAAAGCAGAAATATGTTCTAGTTTTTCTCAGCCTAATAGACTGTTTCTAACCATCGATAAATATTTGTATAAATTAAAGTTTATATTGAATTGATACCTTTACAGAATAACACTAACTCGTAAACTCATTGTTGAAAATGAAACTCGTTAACAATTTTACTGCAATCTTGAATAATATTAATTCATCTTAAGAAACTAAAACGATCATTATATATATATATATATATATATGCATGTATGTATGTAAATTTATGCATATATATGAAATATTAAAAGCTCATGAAAAAGCCGGAACGCTGTCGATGCGTGCTTAGATCCATATTGAAGAAAAGGTTTGATTGCGTAGTACCTAAAGAACGTAACAGTTGCGGAAGTTTTAATTCCATTTTTATTTCCAATTGAAATTTGTGGCCACAATCACTTAGCTTTTTTATATTGTTGAGATAGAAAGCAAGCCAGCGGAATTCATCTTAAACTAGTAAAGAGCAAAGCTGAAGTTCGCAGTTATAGCAAAATGGAAGCACGCGAAGAGAAAAGTTTTGGTTGGCAATTTGGTGATTAGTCAAGATGCATCTGCATTAAGGGTTACCTAAAATGGCATGATCAATTGGAATGACGCAGTTTAGATTTAAGCGCTATTTTTAGGACGGATAGATGAAGTTCCAAAATGAAACTAAAAATAAAAGAGGTTATATTAATTAAATTTAGAAGTTTGCTTTCATATTTTTTATCTTACACATATATATACATAGAGAGAGAGACTTGAAGAATGTAAAGTTAAGAGTAAAAGCAAGACTATTCCTCAACAATACTAATAACAGCAATCGTGTATGAGGTATAAAATAATATCCAAACATATCAAAATTAAAATAAGCATTCATAGCAGTACAAACTCTAAAAAAATTAAATATGAAAATGCGAAAGGTAAAAAATGCAAGGTAATAAAAGTAAAAAAAAATAAAATTTAGTCTCTTATGGCTGAAACTCTAATTCAGACTTTATCAAGGGAAAATGAATTAAAGTATCATAAAAGTCAATTCATATGTTTCGAAAGCGTGTTTCATTCTCCTGATTCATTTGAAATCAAAAAAACCGAAAAAAAACCTACTAAATGTTTATTTCAGATACTAAAATTTATGTAAAACGGAAATCTCAAATCTCAAAAACGTACTAGGATTTACCCTACACGCCTTCGAAACTCTTTGTAAAACGAATAAAACATAGCATTGTGCTAAACTGACTACTCAAAAGAAAAACCCACAAAACTTTACATTATGTAAAAAGACCATTAAAAAATCAAATTGTTTAAAAACATTATGTGCAAATCCGAAATTACCAAGAACTGTAAATTGGTTTCCAGTTTTCAGCTGATAATGCTCAGATTTGATTTTATTATTTAAAGAATCTTCGTGAAAGGTTTTTCTTTTTCTTGGCATTAGAGGTTCAGTTTAGCATAATCGGAAACCACTCAGTTTTTAAGTGTTGTTTAAATGACAATTTGGCCTAAAGTATATTTTTTAATTCTTTATATTTATTTGCTTTTGAATTTCGGATTTGCATATAATGTTTTTAGACCAACTTTATTTTTTAATGGTCTTTTTACATAATGTAAAATTTTGTGGTTTTCGTTTAGCAGTCAGTTTAGCACAATGTATGTTTCATTCCTTTTATCAAGTTGTAAGGATTATGTTAATTTTATTAACAGTTAAATTTTAAGTTAAAGTTCCTTTCCTATCAAATTCTTAACTTCAAACTTACTACTTCCGGCCAGAACGTAGTTTTGGAATTTGCTGAATATTTAGTGAGAAGGAGCGGTATTTAAACCATGAAGTTACTTTCTGAGACTGAGAGAGAGAGAATCAGAGTTTCTGAACTACGCGCGTCTGCCTTCTTGGCCGCTCTCTCTCTCAAAGCTGTTTCACACTCGGCCGTACTCAGGCCCTTGCTAAGCTTCGTAGTAAAAAAAGTAAAGGGGCCAACTCTTATTGAACCTTGATAGCTTTGGCTATACTTAGTTAGTTAATCTTAGTTTTAGTTTAATTCTTAGTCTTTTAAGTTCAAGTCCAAAGTGCGGACTTTATTTGTACACTCCCAGGCGGAGTTTTGTTAAATCTTATAGAAATAATAAAGGGTTATTTACCCTTCTCTCTTGTTGTTTCCTGTCTTCGAACTCTAGCGATTATTCGCTTATCAGTTCCTAGGTTCCTCACTTCCAACATTAACTTAGAATTTCAAGTGAGGGACCTTACAAAGTGTTTAGAAAGAGTGTAGGGAAAATCCAAGTGCATTTAAGATTCGAGTTCTAGATTTCACATAAATCTGAGTATATTAAATGAAATTTTAATAGATTCTTTTTTCGGTTTTTGATCTCAAATAAACCAGGAGAAAGAAACACGTTTTCGAAACATATTAATCGACTTTTATGAAGCTTTAATTCATTTTCCCCTGATGAGTTCTGAATTAGAGTTTCAGTAAAAGGAGACAATTTTTATTTTTTTTTATTTTTATTATCTTGTATTTTTCCCTTTTGCATTTTCATATTTAATTTTTATTTTTAGAGCTTGTACTGCTATGAATGCTTATATCAATTTTGATATGGTTAGATATTGTGTTTTACCTCTCATACATGATTGCTATTACTAATATTGTTAAGGAATAGCCGTGCTTTGACTCCAATTTACTTTTAACTTTAGATTCTTTGAGTCTGTTTTACTTCAATCCTGCAGCTATAGGGCAAAACGGGTATAAAAATTTGCTGTTAAATTTCCCTCTATTATGTTTCTTTTTGTGTTTATATATATATTACCTTTAATAAACTATTAATGTTATTATTAAGAATCAATTACCTGTATTAATATTAACCTGTATGGATTACTGCTTATTAGGTAAAGGCTTGCATAATTAGTGCTTACCATGTAAATATTTACTTACTGCTTATTGAATAAATGTTTGTGTAAGTTAACATTTGTACTAAAATAATGACTCACTTATTTTATTTAAATATATTCAACTGAACGTAAAATAGGATACCGACCTGTAATACTATAGTGATCGTTCAAATTCATATGAAAAGAAGCTGCTAACAGGTTTCTAAAAAATACTGGAAAAGCAGAATTCGGAAAAAAAAAACTAAAATTTAAAAAAAGTACATCTATTACAGATGGTCATTTTTTGTAAATCCATGATGCTTCTCAGAAAGGAAATCTAGGTTAGGAGTAGCACTGTTATTGTCAATTAGTTTTACCACAATTTTCCCCAAGATGTGAAGCAAACAGATGTGTCTGTAAGTTTACATTGAGCTTAATTTCTTATATCGCATTTTTCAATTTTTTTTTTAAAAAGGGATAGATAAAAGCTTGCATCAAATATTTATGCAAGTTTTGTAATTCAATTTTATGGAGCATTTTTAATCATACTATATCTAACTCTACCTTCAACCAGGGGGAAATGTAATTTTCAAATGCCACATGATTGGTCTGATTTTTTTAGATAAACAAGCACACGTAATGAATTTCTTAAAAGTATTTTCAACAAAATATTGTACTAGCAATTTAAATTTTTCATTGGAGGGATTAGTATTGAAGGAAAATCTGTTTTCGAAATGATAGGCAAAGGATCTCGCTATGTCGTTATCTGAATATATGCGCGAGATAGTCATTAAATAATGCAAATTAATGGACTTCCTGTTCTTTAATTTTCTAATGAATAACCAGATGGCGTCTTCATTAGAATCCAAATTGAATTTTTTTAATGCGCGTTTGACGTTTATGATCACCAGCTACAGATTTAATGGACCTAATGAGATAGTTTATTTTCATTCTGATATCCACTCTCAGGTAGGGTGTAAATGATTTCTCACTTGTTTCTATATTTGGTTTTATTTTGAACTTCGTGCAGGGGTAAATCTGAAGGGTTTAATTAGTTTCTTTGATAGTTATGACTCTATCATATGAATCAATAATTGACCTGGTGAGAGTGTTAATAGGATAATCAAGAACATCTGTGATTTTCGGTAAACCAAGATTCAATTTTCTGTCTCTAATAATATTATAAAAAAGATCCTTGTGAGCGATCTTGAATTTCTGGTTACCTTCAATCTTGGAAGTAACATATTCAAACAAATACCAGAACGTCAAGGGAATATGTAAAAGATCTCGTCTGAGGAAGAGAAAAGCGGACGAATCCACAACGTGTAAATTGAGAGAAAGTGTGAAACATTTTGCACAGCACTGCCTAAAAATATTAAAGCAGTGGAAGCGATAAATCTGTTTAGCTGTAATACAGTATCACATTTCCTCGATGTTCTTCAAATTAATCAAAAGCACCTGTCATTAGGCAGTTTCACTCTCAATATCACCAAGAAAGAACAAGATTCTTAATAATATTACCTGTATGTTAATTATTATTATAAGGTATTCTCATTTTCTGTTTTATATTAAGAATTTTATGTGAATGTATTTGCGTTCTGCAGAGAATAATATGGGTTTTCATTAATTTCTACGGGAAAACTCGCTTGGATGTAATAGTGATTTGGATTGCAAACTAGTTTCTGGAAAGAATTAAGTAACTTGCAGATCAAGTTACCACTGTAATTATGATATCTTGGATTCTTAGAAATGTTTTGATGCATGTACAATAAAACACCTAATTTATAAGACAGTAAATCTTTCGCCTGAAGTTCGATACTTGAAATGTTTCTTTTAAAAGCAGCAGCTGTGCTAATCACCTCTCCCTCCGTCACCTTATCTCAATGTCTCAAAATATGCTTAGAGCACGTTAGGGAAATATATTATTGCCGCATTCATCGCTCGTCACCAAGTGGAAAACTATGATTTCTTACAATGTAATCAACCATCTATAACAATGTATCTCCCTATCTGAGATATTTTGTTTTATCACAAACAGCGAGGAATCTTACATTTGCGATCTGTATTCTTCTGGATGTTGCTACAAATTATGATGATATGTTGTATTTTGCCCATTTTAGATTGGCACTTCAGTTTCGAATAAATGTTTTTGAGCTGTAGTTTCTCTGAGAATTTTCGAAAAGTATTATAGGATAGGTGATTCTAATATTGATTCCTAATTCATCCTTCAATAAACGTTTAGGAAAATTATTTTACACAAACCTTCCTCTCACTTTGAATTTAAGATTCTTCAAAATTTATTGAAAACTATACTAATATAAAACAAATTTGTATGTTCTTACATTATTCAAATTCAAAATTAGTATGCTTTATTTTCTATGAAATAAAAGCACTCTGTATGTTTCGCCTAACCCGATTTTCCTTCATTCAAAAGGGTTTACAAAAGAATTTGGGAAACATGGTCTTAAAACTATTCAGAGAATTATATAGTTTACCTTCAAATTTAAAATGCGTATTGTAACGAAGCAAAGGTATTTCCAGGAAGTTTAAAAGAAAACTCTTTTTGATCACAAACATTACTATATTTTCATTTTTTATAAATAGAAATGTATAAGAATCTCAAAGAACTTGTATGTCTGATGGGTAAATGGATCGACAATAAATATTCCTTTTATGCTGAAAATTAAATATTTTGACGAGATGAAGAATACAAATTGAAATATATTTTATCCACTTAAAAAATCAGTGTTGATGAGGGTGATAAACTTTATTTTAGAATAGAATTAAATATAAGAAATGGTTATAAATGTGGTTAATATTTATTCCTGTATTGCTCTAATATTTATCAAATTTGAGGCTCTGTAAAAAGTGAACAAGCTTAAGTTTCAGTGAAGTTAATTCGAAGTACAACTTGTCATATCAATACAGATATATTAATAGTATTGAATCAATTTTATTGGTGTAAATTCATATCTATATTTACTATGTTTTTGTCTTTGATTTTAAAAGCTTAGCTAAGCATTAATAATATAAATAAAGTTATAAACCAGTTGGGCTGTTAATTATAAATACACAATTGGGAATTCGTTTCATAATATTTCCAATATTTTCAGTACTATGTTACTGAAATAATTCTTCCTAAAGATGTTAGTACTATAACTTCCTTCATAGAGAATAGCATGTAAAGCTTTAAATGCGTATTCAAATTTATAGTGCTCTGTTTATTATTAAATTTGCTGCAATAATCTAAAATAGTTTAGGTAGGAAAGATTTAATTTGGCACCTCTTCGATGGCTGGAGCTAATACTGAACTTCACAAAGCAATTTATTATTCTAAACCTTAGCTTAATAAATCTATTAAAATTCGAATAGCTTCTGCAGCATTTAAGAATTATGTCAGTGAATTATTTAGCATAATATCCTTAAATTAATCTAAAGTTTTCCATGAAAACATAACGTAGTTTTCAAGGGAAGTTGTTACCTTAATTTCTATGTTATTTAAAGTATTTGCAGCAATATTATTATAGACGAATAACTTTTTTTGCGTATCCTTCTTGCTTTAATGTAACTGATGATTCTAAACAAGTCATAGACATTCAGAAAAATTAGCGAGACATTATCATTGATTCTGTTTTCGTATTAATGTTGCAGTCATCCATACTTCAGAAAGGGCGATTTTATGAGACTTCTATTTCTTTTAGAATTCTTTTTTGTTTTAAATTAATATTTCTAATTGTGTTAGTAAATGCAAATTATGTGTTTTAAAATTTAGTCATTATTTCGGCAAGAAAGAGACCTATGTTCTAAACGATCGCATTTGTGCTCTTTGCTCCAATCAAATCAAATTCACGTATGTCATCACTTAGAACATGGTCTGTGTCTTTCCATCATAACATTTTAATTTAGATCTATTTTAGAAACACGACTAATACGCACATAAATGAGGGTTTTCAAGTATACATTTTCAGATGTTAAAAATGAATTATTCCAGAGAAAAAATCTTCTTTAAATTCTTCATTTGTTATTAAAAAAACTTATCAATCCAGGACAACATTTACCTAAAATTGACATACTGCATATTTTCCCACCGTTTTCCTTGTAATATCTTAAAGTGCATTTAAATATGAAAGTACCAAAACCCAGTATGCTTGGTTCGACTATGAAAGCTTTTCAAAAATTATGTTTCATATTTTCATTATCAAATGAGCAGTTCACTATTTTTAAGCCTTACAATTTTTCAAATATTGCAGGGACTATATATATACCTATAAATATATTTTAATGCAATTATACATGCACATAATTAAAACTTTGTTAAAAAGTTACATATATATTCTGAGTAAAGACGAAAGTCATACGTATTATAGAATTCCAAATGTCCCTACTGATAGGATTCAGATCATTTAGACATTTAAAATATTCGAATTTTTAATTTATTTTTATGGATTGAATCAGTATTTATTGTTATGCAGGCAAGAGAACTTTGCTTTTCGGATTATCGTATTTTCTAAACAAAGACCTTATAATCAAGTATTTATTTTATAAAAGTAATATATGTATATTAAATTTTACTGTGCTAAAAGTAACTTCGTTTATGATAAAAACAACTGCTTTTTAACGTTTAAATAAAATAAAACTGAAGCATTGTTTTCCACTGTTGTAAAAAAGCAAAATAAACAGAATAATACGTATAATAAATTTTTTTATTGTTCTGAAATCTTAAGTTAAATACATAGTCTACTATACTAATCTTCACAACATGTAAAAAAATTAAAGATTCAAAACGTGCTTAAAGAAATACGCAGCAGTCTTATACATCTTGCTGGATGGAAGAGAAAAATTTCCTGATAAGTCAAGTTCAAGATATCTGGAGACCAGAATGGCTGAAATTTTAATACAGATTCGTTATATATTTCTGTAAAATACTAATGTATGTACCATTAGTTTATTTATTTCCTAATTTTGTAATTTACTATACTAATATAATATTTAGTTTTACTTTTGTAAAAACCTACGCTGTAATATTCTTATCAGTAAATAATGTTTGCATATAAACTTTGAAATATTCTTGTAGAAATTTCAAAAAATTTCACAGACAGAATTAATGAATACAAGAATATGGTAAATGTTAGTTTAAAACAAAGCGGTGATAAAAAAAGATGTACGAAATACTTCCGAAACAAAAGGTGTGCAGCTAGTATAATTTTTATTCTAGGTAGAAGTTATACTCCGATATATCATTTTTATTTTTTTCATATTTATGATAAAGTATGACTGAATTACGACTGATAATTTAACTGTTTATGACGCGTAAGGAAACAAGTTGCAAGAAAAATAGCGAACCAGTTAAATGTTGAAATAAAGTTAAATGATCAAGAGCATTTTATGACAGTGAATTAATTGAAACTGAAATTAACGATAAAAGTAACTAGATTCATGAATAACAGAATTCGGTACAATCGTTATCACTATTCATTTGTAAATTTAACATATATATTTATATTTTTAAGAAGTTCTGAATTTAAATTGTACTTTGTTATTATCTAGGTTTCTTGGATACGGAGAAGGGATTTTCATGTGCTCACTTCCGGTCTAGTGAAATATACTGCTGACGACAGATTTGTGCCAGTCAACATGGAACGATCAGACGACTGGATACTCCAGATAAAGTTGGCCCAGCTGGCTGATGAGGGCCTCTACGAGTGCCAAGTCAACACACACCCTCTAATAAGCTTCTTTGTCAATCTAACTGTGCTAGGTGAGTGTTCTTGTGGCAGTTACTTTTACGTTTTCTTAATAGTTAAGTTACATAACGAGCTAGCTTATTTTAGTTTCACATCACATATATCGACATAGACCAGAAGATTGTACGAACTAAGAGTACGAGAACGAAAGTTTAAAAATCTATTTTAGTTTACGGTAAATCATGTGTGGGAATGGAATGTTTCCGTGATGCCTTGATGAAAGCTCCAGGACAGTAATTAGGAACAGATACAACAGATCGCGAATATCAAAGGAATAGCTTCGTTTGAAGTACCGTAAGGTATGAAGATTTAAATAAATAATTTTTCAGCAGAAATGCATGCATCTAGTCATTTCCAGATGTGTTTAACCTACTTAGTATAGATGTGCTTAACTCTGTTTTATGACACAAAAACCTGAAAATGAAATTATGCGTACTTACTATAAAACAAAATATTTCAAATTAATTAGTTGATTTACATTCTGTGTAGTTTTTTAAATGTACTGATTATTTTGTAAATTCGATTTTACATTTGTATGAATGAATTTTTTGTTGGCTGTGTTATCACATTTCTTTCATGTTGATTAAAATTGTAGATTATATTTGCTTGAGCCATCTAGGTATTTCAAGAAGCATAGTAAACTGCGATAATTATCTCCAGAATGTAGCTCATATTCGCTTGCTATTTAAGCTAAATACTAATGTTAAAGTCATACTTAATCATTAGTAACATCTCTTCTGTCATTGATTTCTAGAATTATCGCTAATTTGTATTTGTATTTTAATATATCCAGTTTAATGAACCATTTAAACTATAGATTAGAAATAAAATTTTCTCTTATTTATTAATTTATCGGAATCCATACCTATTCCTCATAAGACGCAGTCCTTTTATAAATTATAATATCTCGTATACTTTGATACCATAACTAGACGTTAGAAGACTGTAGGGAATTATTTTTAAGTCTTAAGTACGACAAAGTACGACGAAGGGTGTAAAGAACCCTTTATTAACTCAGATAAAAATTCACAAATGACACCGAATCATGCTTACAAATATCAGTATATTGTGCTTAACGTAAAAAGGAACGGTTAACGTAAAATTAAATGGAGTTAAGATTAGTCTAATGGCTTCACAGGCAACGTAACGCCCAGGATGTTGCACGCAGAATGACTCGAAAGCCGGCGTAAACAAGCCTATTTGTAAGAAACGCTCAACGCCAAATATTACTAATCGCTAGAAATTCAAAGATATCAACGTGGTTTAAAGACAGGCATAACACGCTCTAAATTCCCTTATAAAACCTTGCCTTAAATACTAATTTCTTTCTACCTTTTCTGAGTATACGTGCATTAGATAATTTGCATTCTGGCAAGAAAGGGTGAGTTGTAAGCAAGAGCGACAGGAAAAATTGCTTCAAAAGAAAACTAACTGTTAATTAAATTAAATAAATCCCTTCAAATTTCTTCGGTTCTTTTAAATGGATTTGAATTTCAATAATCTTATCTCTCCCCCTTTTTAATAAAAACTCTCATGCCCGTCTAATGTATTTCTTCTTCAGTTCATATTCATATATTTTATTTAATTAAAGCATATTCTATAGCTTATGTTAATGTAATATTAACTAAAACGCATTATAGTATAATTTAAAACTAAACAGAAAAACAATCTTAGATAGCAATTGATCTAGAATCTCTATTCGTATTGAGAGCGATCAAAGGTATGGTACTTCTTCAGAAGTAAAAATTTTGAAAAAAAAAAAAAAAAAAAAAAACTCTTCTATTTCCTTTAATAGAAAATAAAAAAAAATTCGAAAAAAATCCCTCTTAAAGAAGAGTATCTTTTTCTTCCTGGAAGGAGATATGGTTGATTGCCTTCATTACAGAGGCACACCACTGCAGCCACATACATTATTTTAAATTTAATTAAGTACAATTTAGAAGTAACCAGGCTGTAAACTTGTAGACCTGTAAAAAAATAATATATACGTTATAATATTAATTTTATTTAATATTCCCTTAGTTTCCCATTAAACATATATAGATTAAAATCTAATATATAAAAGTCATAAACTTCTTAACAGTCACATACAAATTAAGTTGATCTAGTTGGGACTTAAATGAGAGTTCTTCCTAATAGTTTACCCATTCATTACTAGTCGCTAAGGGAGAGCATTTTCTTCGACAGTCATTGACAGAAATATGTCCTTATTGACGACTGGTGAATACAACGCGCAGTTCGTTGCACTATCATCACACTCGAAGGCCAGAGACTGGTCTTCTATGACACGAATTGATGCGTCTGTCTTGAATTGACTGCATACTGTGTGACCCTCGTCACACAGTATGCAGCGGTCTCGAAAGACATTTCAGGTGAATATCATTCAACGAATAATAGAATATGAGTTTTATCACTCTCATCACTTCATAGACTTTTGCACAACACAGATCGGCATACAATCGTTACAAGGACTTACATGTTCACATCCTTTTCTTTCATCAAACGTAAATATCAGTCTGCAACAGCATTTCGGTTATCATCGTTCAGAGGTTCATGAAATCGGGATTCCTTTGTGCTCAATATATCGTAGTCAGGAATACTATATCCGGATTGTTGAACATCATTTTCGCTGGAAGCCGATACTCGACGTCTGCTAGTTGCCAGGTCTGGAACTGACATGTTGTTTTCTGGTAATCACACACTTGATGATAGTTTTGAAAAATAATTCTACATACAGTAAGTAAAATATCAATTCACTTGAATTATCAAACACTTAGACGATATTTCCTCAGTAAATTTTCTGTCATTTTGCAATTCTTGCGTATCATGACAACATTACTCCGTACTCCATTACTAAACACTTTCAGTTATCAACCGCATTTTGCCTAATCAGTCCAATTCATTACATTTCACGCATTATATTCAGTTTCTTACAACACTCGGTATCTGTCTTATTAACACTATATTTTACCTTTCCCTTTTTCTTTATTTTGCCAAACTGCTTCCGAACATCTAACTCAAAGTTTTGTTCTACTTCTCATTCCTTAGGTTTTTACCACCCCTTATCTTCATTGCTCACTCTTCCAGCAATATTTTTATACTATTTAATGTTTGACCTGAATATTCATTAAAACCGACTCTTCACATCTTCTTGTATGTTTCTCAGTCAGTCAAATATTAATTTTCCAAATTGATTGCAAGCACTCAGCTATTAAAATTATGTTCTGCTAGTTCCCTCATGGCCCTAAAAAAATAACGCATTTCAATTTGCTCTTCTTCACACAATTGCTAACGCATTTCAATTTGTTCTTCTTCACACTATTGCTAACGCATTTCAATTTGCTCTTCTTCACACAATTGCTAACGCATTTCAAATTGCTCTTCTTCACACAGCGTGGAATCTAGTGCCGAGGAATCTTTCTCTTAAAATACGAGTATAATGGGCCTAATGGACAGTCTGTCTACATTTTGCTTCCTTAATGGTTTAAGGTCGCTTCAAATACTGTAATAGCACCTTTATTAATAAAATAATATTTTAAAGCTATCAGTTATCTCTCTTCCTACAACATATTTATACTATATATTTTAACTTTCCCTAATTTAAGCTCTTCTGGTTATTTTTAGAATTAACCCTCAAGGAAATCTTTTCTTTCAAGGCAACGTCAACTCCTTTGAACAAGCCTCTCACGGATCGCAACTTTAAGGCAACATAAATTTTGCGATGAAATATACGTTATTAGAGTATACGTATGCATGAAGTATATATGTATAGATTTCATGTGTACGTGGTAGAGCCATTAGGTATTTTTCCGAGGCAGGAAAGATAAAAATTTAGCAATGTCTTCGACGGTAATTGAACCGCGGACCTCTCAATGACGCGCTGAGCGTGCAGACCACTACTCCACGAAGGCTCGCTAAGAAGGCTGGAGAAATGCCTTATATACTTCCCCCCTTTTAAAGGGCGAGTGGGTTTTTTTTAGGGCACCCGATCGCCAAATCCTGGGTGAGGAGAATCATCATCCAACACCCTTTTATTTCGGGCGCCACTGTACAGACATAAGTTTTTTTTTTTTTTTTTTGAGGCACGAAAGAGGAAAAATCAGCAACGCCTTTGCCGGGAATCGAACCGTGGACCTCTCAATTACGCGCTGAGCGTGCAAATCACTACACCAGAAGGCTTTCTAAGAAGGCGGGAGAAATACCTAAAAACTTATGCGTTAAAATTACTAAATTTATCTTTCCTCTCACAAAATCGAATAAACAGTTGCCACTGAAGCCTGATCCCTATATAACAGAAGCCTAATTTCTAAGGTTGGTTTGCCTAATTTTGAAACATATTAATGTACTTTTAATAAACAAGTGTAAGGTATGGTGTTCATATCCTTTCAGTTTCAAGATTTTCCCTGCAAATACATTCTTTCCATTTTTTATGCTTTATTTTATTTATGTTCGATAGTGCGATATCGCGTCATAATAAATCAAAGAGATTATATATATATATATATATACTCTTAGTTAATGATGTACCGCATTTTAGGCGACGTATAAGACGTACTTTTTTGCTTTTAATATAGATCTGAAAAACGGGGTGCGTCTTATACGTCGATACGTCGTTTGTGAATGGGTCAAAGCTTCATGAGATGCTCTGGAAACAGAGAAAGTGGTTAAATAATTTATAAAGTGTGGCATTAGTAATGCATTGGTTGGTACACATTGACAATTTGTTGTATGAGGACTCAGATGCTGATTTAGAAGAGGTTTCAAATGACTCTTCATTTAGCTCTGCAGAGTGTCTGGGTTTTGACGAAGGAGATTAAAAGGTGTTCCTTCCCAGATAGATTGGGTATTTGCAGAGAGTATTACTTTGTATCTGTGTTACTTTATATTTAAGACACTGTAAATTCATTATAATGATCAGTAATAAAAATTTTATCCTTCAAAAATGGGCATAAAAAAGAAGGTGCGTCTTATACACCGGTAAATACGATAATTGCAAAAAGGTGAATAATTTATT